ATTCCTGCTTCAGTGACCTGTGGAATGAGGTACTGAAGAGCCAACAGCTTTTATTCTCATGTATGAGCAGGTGAAGCCCTCTTTACATGCTGGGGCCTGATCATGAGCCTCCACCTCACATAGACCTGACTCTCAAGGCTAGTATGCAGACGGACCTCTGCTTGTCATACAACTCTTGATCTAGCAGTTCAAGTAGAGGCTAAAGGAACAGAGGTTCAGTGCTTAAATTTATGCAAGATGGCCTGAAGAACATGCTCCCGGTACAGCTCTCAAAGCTATCAGGGCTCAAGAAGAAATTGCATTCTCCAACTATGCCCACACAGCCCACAGGGCTCATACCTTCCCTCTCTGATGAGGCATCATACTACGCCTTGGACAAGTCTTGAGCATCCTGTTAAACAGATACCCCTTCCAACCTTTTTCTAGCAAACCTGATCAGATTTAGACCTTGTGGTTCTAACATCTGGGAGCTGTTCTAATATTTCAGAGCTATGGCCAGCAGGGAACATGCTATTCCAAACAACCTTCTAAAATCAGTGTGCCACTAAATCTGAATGATAGGAGTAAGCCTAGCATAAAACAGACCAAAAAAAAAAAAAAAAAAAAAGGTGGGGGGACTTTTAAAGCAGTAAAAGGCCATATATGCATTTACTTATTCTCCCACAGGTATGCAAGAAGGTGTAATTTCTTCAGGTTGCTCAGCAGGGTATCTGTTCCCAGATTTTTCTATCAGAACAGTTTTTAGAGTCTAAATGTCCTTTGGATATACTCATTCTAACTTCTGTATCTTGGCCAGTTTTGCAGGAATGGCTCTTCACAGGTATTTCCTCCTATTCTATTCCTTACAGCCCAAGAAGTTTCTCATGAGAAGTTTGGTACAGACTATCTAACCTTTGTACTTTCTTTTCCCCAAACATCTGCTACTGAATTTACCATCTACATATTAACCTGGTACTCAACACCATTAATTGATACACGTCCCTCCACATCAGCTAAAACATCCATAAATACAGAAGCTTTAGTTGCTAGTTTTTTTCCTCCCAAAAAAATCATCTAAAGTAGGTAGATCAGATTGTCAGCACATGTTCTCTCTCCCTTATTTTTATGGGGAAAATTCAGAAACCAGTCCCAAGAACAAAGAGCCTCTCCCCTCCACCCCATATTGTTATATATAATTATTTTAAAGCAAACCATAACTTATAATCCTGACTATAAGCACAAAGGTAAATGAAGTTCCTGCCCCAGCTAGCTCTTAAACTCCACCCACACACAGTAGAATGAAAAAGTAAAGTATAAGGGGGAACTGAAAGGAACAGAAGCATCTCTGCAATTCAGAAACCCTCAGTGCATTCTTTCCCGGGATCCCCGAGTCCCATCACCTCTGCTCCATAAGCCCATACAGAAGAATCTACCATGCTGAACAGAAGTATTAAACACAACTATTGGTACCTGCTGGTTGATGTAGTACTTTCATTTTATATATGTTGCAGCAGGAGTAAAAGGAATAGTGGGAACACATCTGGTTGTTCAACCATGTCATTTCTTGGGCCTGGGATACAGCAGGTGCTTGGTCAGAAGGGACCACAGTTACACACAGTCTAATTAACATTGGATTTGTTTGACACTGGGTCTGCTCCAGTCCTGACCTTCTTGTCGAATTTTGAGGATAAAGAAAGACAGAGTTGCAGGGAAAGCCTTCAGGTTAGTGACAGCACTGCTATTGCCAAAAGTCCCACCAGACAAGACCTTTCAGAGAAGAGTTCCCCATGGGAACTACTGGGTGCTTACTGGGAGCTAGGGAGCAACTTCCTTCCTGCGCTACTCCTAGAAGCTGGAGCAGAGGAAGCCAGATGTTAGGAGGAGGAAGGCAGAGAGAAGAGAGGCAAAAAAGGATCCTGCCTCTTCTGGACACAAGCAGTAATAGCACAGTCAGCTCTGCTCCAGAGAGGTTCCTGCAGAGAACTGCACAAGTAAAAGTAATACAAAGACCGCAAAACAGTAACTCTTGCCCAGAAGCAGAGGAGCTTGCGGATTATAGTCTCAGGCAGAAATCCTGGCAGGACCACCTTCATCAATTCCCAACCAGCTATAGAGCAAAAAAACTTTCCAGCCTAGTACTGCAGACCCAGGGAAGAAGCAGAGGTACCCCAGCTTGAGCTGGAGCAGGGGGTCCTTGCGGTATGCTGGTCACAGAAGCAGGTACATAACATGCCCTGCCATGAACTCTGCTCCTTGCACAAGATCCTTGCCCAGTTTTATGAGGCTGGAGGAAGACTTTTCCCTCCGGTGAGGCTCAAGAAGTAATTAACTATTAATTATCACCAAGCTCCTCATAAGGACTTTTCTAATTCGCGGGCAGGTATAGGACAGAGATCCTCTGCCATTCCTAGCTGGCTACTAGAATAAATTAGAATAGAATTCCTTTCCAGAGCAGACAAGTGATACTCAGTTATTCCCGCAAGCAAACTGGGCTAGCTGTACCATGTGCTGTGGTAGAATCATGAAGCAGGAGACACTTTTGTGTTTCTCTTCCCATGTTTCTCCTATCTTTTTCTCCGAAGAGAAGCAAATTTTACTGAACAAGGAAAAAGATAGCTACCGAGCCTCACCAGAAACAACTTTGCGGGAAAGGGTGCAGCACTAACTGGTCTTCTCAAAAGCCATTCTTAGCACTACCTCCACTGGATTGGGTGATAGTGTCACATCTGAGTACACAGAGTTGTGTCTAGATCAGAAATGCAAAGGGTGGACCTCCTAGGCATCTCCTCTGCCTTAAAGAAGGAATAACTCTGGAAGCAACAGACTATAAGGCTCTACAGTTGACAAGAAGCACTCGCATTGGCACAGTCAAATTTCACCTTCAAGCACAGTACACGATGCAAAGCCTTGACTGTGAACAAAGTCACCTTTACCTTAGATTTGCAGGGAGCTGAAATTCCAATCTAAGAGCTATGCAGCAGAAGGATGCCCAAGATTCAGTTCTAGGACAGTGACAAGTGAAATGGAAAGAGCAGCTGCAGCATTGCTAAACACAGATCACCCACACTTTCCTAGTGGCATGCACGAGGAGTTGCAGCACTAACTGACCCAATCCAACAGGACAAAGAGATCAGATTCCTACAGGAAGCCGTAATACTAAAAGCATCACTGCCCCACATCAAGTACAATATTTAGTTTTTCACCAGAACAGACAGGACTTGCACCTATCAGTAGGTGTAAAGCAGGTAAATCCTGCTGGAAGCATCGTAAGTCCTAGCTATTAGGAAATCCAGCCAGGTAGACTCTGCTGGAAGCTCTGTGAATCGGCATTCAGAAAAGCACGTCGCAGAACAATTCTCAGCTCCAGGTAACACCCCAGTTGATGCACAGGATCCCTTGCTGCGCCAGCCTAGCCAGGAACTGCTGGTTCAGGAGCTTTAAGTGGGGTAGTTGCACCACCTGCTGTTTGTTCCAAAGAAAGCTACCAGCACCTATTAGAACATGATTAAAGATGATCACTATTGACAAAAGCTTTTTTCCTCAGAACCACAGTTTTTCTGCAGTACATGCTCTTGATTAAAGTCACCGAGAATGACTCTTGGTATCTGAAAATTATGATGCAAGATCAGCAGAGGGACTTGATCCAAACAGCCAAAATGGTTCAGGTTCTCAAACAGAAAACAAGAAATTCAGTTTAACTCCCAGTTCCTTTAAGAAGGGAGATCTCACTGTTATCCCTTTGGAAAGCTCTAAAATTGGGGGGGGGGATGGGCAGGGGGGAAAAAACTACAAAAGCAAATATGGAACAAAACTTCTGAAGAGGCTAAACATTTTCCAGACATGAAAACAGCTACCTTCTCAACGCCACTTGCAGCTTAGCAGGAAGCAAACAGTTGTGTCATAAATTCTACACCCTTCCACTTTCCTAGTGGCATGCACTAGGAGTTGCAGCACTAACTGACCCAATCCAACAGGACAAAGAGATCAGATTCCTACAGGAAGCCATAATACTAAAAGTTTTCTTAGGATATGGGGTCTTGGAGATGTATAAAAACAGACAAGTCAGTCTGCTCTCTTGGCTGGCACAAATATAGCAGGCTGCAGAAGAAGATCCTCTTAATACTAGAGATCAAGGAACCTGTTCGTAGGCAAATATTTTGTGTGCCAGGCCTCAGAAATAATTGGGCACGCAGTAGGTAGCAAGGTCAATGTGAATCTAAAAGGTAGTAAAGTTCAGAAGAGTAGCCTCTGCTTGCTGAAGCATAGTTATACAATGTACAGACAGAAGGAAATCGGAAAACCATTTTATTTAAAAAAAAAAAAAACACACACACACAACCACACCCACTCACATACTTTCTGCTACATTTACTGCTCAAGCTATACCTCCTGTGATGTTGCTCTCTTCCCTGGGCCTGCTGGGCCAGCAGTATTCACACCTCCCTGTCCTTCTCTGATCATCACTCCACTATGTTCAATTGGTCCCAACCAATAGCAGGCACTTACTTCTCACCTTATCATCCACAAAGAACACAGGTTACTAGGGTCAAAGGCTCTTCTTCCCATTGGGACAAGTCTTGGATTTATATATGATCATCTGCTCCCACTAAGAGAGGAGCTCCCACTTGACAGAACTGTAAGGAAAGCGTAGGAAGAGATATCTACCTTCCCCCTTGATAGCCAAAGCCTAAACAACACTAAAATGATCCCTGAACCACTCAACCTGCAATTGAGACATATCCATGCTCACTCTACAGTTCAGGACCTACATTCTTACTGTAGAGTCTTCAGGATTCCCTAATGAGTTTTCTATAGGATTTCCCAATCTCACCACTCCATCCTACTTCCATAGATCCAGGGCTTGTATTCCAAGTTCGCTCTCTGGGAGAGGAGCATTGCCTGTTTCACGTGCAGCCTCCATAGACCCACACTGTAGTAGAACAGGAGTACTCTCTCCAGGCCCTGGCTCTCCTTTAGGAAGTCTTGGACGGAGACTCTTGTTCCTACATAGTTGTCAGGCAGCTCCAATAAGGACACAGAGCAGGAGGCTTCGTGCTTCAGGCTCGGTCAGTGCTGTTGTGCGGTTCCAGCATCCTCTTCCTCCTCCTCCTCCCCACATTCAGTGTGACGCAGCAGCAGCTCCAGGTCAGGGTTGGAGCTGGCCTCTTTGTGTAGCTTCAGTGCTTTTTCACCTGCATGCAGATAGTCCGTTTAGTGACTAACTCACTAGAACACCCATCAAACCTGATGTTAGCAAGGAGCTGGGAGCAGATTCAGCTCCCAGTGAACTTGCAGGCATGACTATAGAGGAACAGAAAAGGATTTAAAACAGAATCACCTTTTGAATTGAGGACTTTGAGAATGATATGCAAGGAGATTCCTGAAAGACAGACAGCAAAGCCCAGCCAGTTCAAGAGACTGAGGTGGTCTCCCAGCACACGTGTGGCAAGGAGTAAAATGCAGATTTCCTGTGGAAAGAAAAAACATGAGAGGTGGCAGGGCAGGACTGATGGGGCAGGTTATGAGATGTTTTACAGCTCAGGTCTATATCAAGATGCCACGTTTGCTAATTTCCCTCAGCATATTCCCCAGTGAGGAGGGTTCTAAAAATGGATTCAAGAAACAGAATGATCTGCCAAACTCTAGGATCAGGGATTTTAAGTCTTTTGACTACATAGCTTGGCTACACAGGAATTCTGTGACTTCCAGATCAAGAATGACAAGTTTTGCATGTCATCATTCAGCTCAAAAGTACATGCACTAGACTCTTCAAAGGAGGGGAGAACGTGCCATATGAGGTCAAATGAGTTACCCCAAACCAGTGGTTTGTCCTTATCCAGGTCTGATGCAAGAGAGCGCCCTTCTTACCCACCTTCCCTCCCACAGCATCCATTGATCATGAGGCCCAAGCATTGGAGCCTCTTCCAGAGCCCAAACTTTGGACCTTAAAGGTATTTCTTGTAAAACAGCCATTAGCCTCTGCCCCTTGCTGTCAGAGTAGCAGGGACCACAGAGACTTCACTGCAGAGACTGCAAGGCAAAGCAGCAAGCTCCTGTGCAAGGAGAACGGAAATAACAGGAGATCATTTCTAGGGCTGGAAGGAAGTCCCCACCACTCAAGGGCCATTAGGGATGGCACTTGCCATCTAGTGTTAGCACAGGAACTATGCCTTACCTTAAAAATGCCAGCAATGGAAAGGGTGAGGCTAGATGTTCTGGAAACCAAGAGGAACTCAGAAAAACCTAGTCCAAAGGCAAGAATTCCACCCAAGAACAACTTCCCCATCAGAGAGAACAGCACTCCTGCTTCGTGGAAACGGAAGAGCTTCTCTGATACAGACAAAGGCAGGCCTATGGAACAAGAAAGTGAGTAGAAGAGTACCTTTGCCGACACCCAGGATGCCCCACAAGACAGTGGTAGGCTGCCCACATTCCACTATCAGGTGCTTAAAGAACTCACTCTACATCCTCCTATTTCCGCAAGTGTGCCATGCTACTATTCCTCTATACTCTTTAATATTTTGCCAGTACAAAGGCTGTCTTAGTCATTTTAACTCAAGGACTCTAGCTACATCAGAAAATGTGCAGCTGTTCACTTATCTTCATGAATCATCTCAGACAAACTGCTGAGCAATCTCCCCAACCATTCCAAAAAGCTGCCCCTGCTTTCACTAATTAACTCACGCACCCTCAAACACGGCAAAGAGAGGGAAGAGCCCCAGGAACATGAGCGGCTGCAGGTGAAACATGGTATCAATGGGGTTCTGGAGTCCTGAAAGAGGAGAATCAGTAACAGACCAGGTAGCAACAAGCCAGGGACAGCATAGCTCCTGGAGCCTTTACGAGTACTGCTCCTAGACATGCACCGTATTTGTAACGCCCATCCCTACGCTGCTGCAGAGGCCAAGCCACTTTCATTGCCAGTCAACAAATGACGCTGTCCCAAGTTTCAAACACCATTCCTTACACAGGGAGTTTTGTATCTGTAGCAAGGCTACCAACTCCTCGTTCCCCTCCCCACCACCAGCACCACCACCCACTTCCTAACTCCCTACATACCCAGTTCAGCCTTCTGCATAAGTATCTGCGTGAGAGTCCAGCGAATACCCCCAAGGAAAGAAGCACACAGCACCAGCATGAACCCCTGTGTGTTGAACTGCGTAGACTTGTAGGTGAACATGAAGAGCCCCCCAGCGATGAGCAGAACCACCAGCACCAATGCCACCCTCTGGGTGAGAGCAAACACAAAGTCACTACAGAGACTCCTGGAGCTGAACAAAGACAGACACCTCCTCTCCTTCAGATCCATCCACACATCTGCATTCCTCCTCCATTTATGTATTTCTCTGTACTGTACAGCGTATTTTCCTCGGCCTGACCCTCTGCCTCCCTAAAGCATTGCATGGGACCCTTACCACTTCCTCCAGTTTGAAGAGTAGCGAAAAGAGCAAGATGAAGAGAACAGCAGAGGATTTGGTCATCGTGTAACTGTAAGGACCAAAACACACCGTCAGTCTCCTCCAATATAGTCCTTCCCAGTAAACTGTTATTAGGCACTAGGCCACCTAGTTCTACGTTGCTACCAACAAACTACTGTTGTCCCCTGCATGCCAACCCCACCAGGCCACACGCCCATCCAAGAAACTGACCCTGACAAAGCACTTTCCAAACTCCACCACAGGACTCCCAGGGAGGAAGGGATTTGTACTCACAGGGAGACAGTGACATATAGGAAGCTCCAGTTACTCAGCCCAATATCCAAGGAAGTTGACAAAGCTAAGGAAGCAAAGAAAAAATCCTAAGTTAACTTTAATTCCACAGCATAAAAAGCTCTGCCACATAACCAGGAACATAGAAAGGAGAGCAGACCTAGAAAACAACTGTTTTCCTCAGGTGAACTTTTCTATGCCAACACAACCCAGATATTCTCAGCTTTTTATATTTCTATCCGGTTCCCTGTGATTCAAGTAGAATCATACCAACAGAACACATACTACACAAGCCCAGAAACAATCCTTGTTCTCACTGTGACTGAAAGCCATCACAAATTTGCAATATTTAAAATATTTTTGAACATATCAGAGTGCAATGGCGCGTAAGGAAGAAGGCCACTGCAAGAAGTCCAAAGGGGCAAGTCTGGCAACAAACCTCATAACAGATCCTTAATCCTGGTCCAACTCTTGTTACAGTCTATTTTCCCTTGTACAAAGGTGACCGAACCAGGATGATATACTACCAATAATCGTTGAGGTAAGTAGATAGCGTTCTGTATTCTGAGCATGAGCTTCACTCGTTGGTCTCAGCTACTGCAGTTTTGTGTGTCACATATCATGAACTTACACATCATAAAGACCAAGAAGCTCCCACCAGAAAAAGCTACTGAAAAAATACAAATGCATAGCTTAATATCAACATTACAGAAAAGAAATAACTCACAGAGATAACTTACAGAGATATTCTACAATGCCCCCCTTTTATGTTCACACGCATACCAGCGGCTCCTTCAGAAAAAGTTGTTCAATTCGGCCTCTATTGTTTTAACTAGTTTTATCACAGCTGATAAACACAGAACATCTAAAGCTTAACGTAAACGGCTGTATCTAGACCACGGATAGCGAAACGCACAGGACGTGCCCGCACCGCGACGCGGCTGTGCGAGCC